AAATTACACACTTCCCAAACCTACAAGAAAAATAATTCTTCACTGATTTGGAACTTATCAACAAAAATGAAAGATGTTTCCAGTGAACTAGAAAGGAATAGGACTTTGCTTATAAATAAAGGGAATTTTAATCCACTTGGTTTTTTTACCAGTAGAACATGAAATTCTTGTAGACTATATTGTCCCTTCACTTGCATTTGTGCATTTCCAAAAAATATTTTTGTATGCATAATTTCCTTGGTAATTTACAGGGTATAATAATAATATATATATTATTTGTATAATAATATATATATTATATTTGTATAATTTGGGTATAATTTGGTGTACTGGTAGACATTAAATTTCTCTATAGAAGTGCATATGACATAGAGCAATATTCACTTTCAGCATTAGTAGGTAAGAAGAGCAATTTAGCGTATATATGTACTCTGAACTAAGAGTAGAGTTTCAGTTAGAAAATATTTGTTTGTATGTGTCTATTTTAAAGTAGAATGGCCCCTTCTTTAAGGAATATAGCTGTAATACAGCTAACCAAGTACAACCTGCAAGGGTTATTTTACGTCCAGCTTGAATCAGGCTAAATGACATGTATAAATCAGTACTTCTCCAGTCTGGTTTGAACTTTGCTTGCTGTGTAGCTAACAAAAATTTCCTTTAAAAGAAAGCTCAGGAGGTGGAAATAATTTTCTGACTTCAACTATCATGCCACCTGGTATTGTTTTCTATTGCTGGTGTTGCTGCTTTTTGGGGCACTAAGTGTATTGGTGTAGAGTCTGTGTGTGTGTCCTGTTCCTGTTCTTCCCTGTCAGGGCTCCCCCCCTTCACCCCTACCTGCCCAAAAAACAGCTTTAAAAGAAAAGAATTGGCAGAGGGAGGTATATACTGCTCGCTTGATAGTTTAAACACTACGTTTCTGTAGGATGAAATGTGCTAGAGCCTGCTTTCTCCTTATGAATTGTAACCAGAGCTAGCCCCTGCTGAAATGCTTACAGAAGTGAAGCGCAGCTGAGCATAAGAGCTGAATGCTGCCTGGCGTTTAGCACCAAACTGCAGCTTAACTGCTTTTAGACATGTGAGTCCTTCCTCATGCTGTGAAAATACACTATACTATTGTGTACATTGAGAGTTCTGAGGTCCTTAATACACAGTGGTATTCTTAAAACTTGAGGATTTGACATTGTGAGAAGCAGATATTGAGGGGATAAGGCTCTTCAAAACAGAAGGAAAATGAAGGAAAATAAAAAAAAAAAAAGATTTTTACTCATAAGAGATCTTTTGTTTTGTTTTTTCTTTCCCATTCTGTAGCACCTCCTGAGTCTGTGGCAGCAGGTAGCCTAACAGGCTATCTCTAAAGCTGTACTACCATCAATTGCTGATGCTAGTGCACAAAGATGGACTGTTACAGTAGGACAAGGCTTCATTGAAGTTACTGCTAATAAGCTCTGTTCACTTCAGTCCCATTCAAAGCACGGGAAAAGGATCAATCTGTGCCAAACTTGAAAAGCTGAAACTATTAGGAGTTAAAAATGATTTGTTTCAAATGGGTGTAAAACAGATTTTCAAGATAAACACTGAAACCACACATGACTCTTACCACATATATTAATCGTATTCTGTGTGGGCATGAAATACAGGAAGTGTTGAGCTTTGTATTCCTTCACTTTTCTAAATGCAGGTTTGTTCCAACTAGCATTTAATATAACCAATGTTTAAGTACCAGCTTCGATGGCAGATACAATGCACATTCTCATTATGAAGTAGCTTAGTTTACTCTTAGAAAAAGGATATGCCTCTTTTAATATCTCCCTAATGCTTAAAAAAAACAAAAACAAAACAACCCACAACAACAAAAAAAACAACCAACCAAAAAAAAAACAAAACAAAGCCATGAAGTAGTTGTAGGTGGAATTATTTTGATTATTTGGTTTTAAAGTGTTTTACGTCTATTTCTCTAAAAAAAGCGTATACTAATCCTAGTGCAATGGCTTTTTATATTTCTGTAGCAAATTGTTTTCTTAGTTTGTGTTTGAGTGCTGTAGTACTTCATTGATTGTCATCTGCTTTTTAAGTACAGCTTCATGATGTACAGTGTCATTCTTCCAAGAAAAGTCACTCTTGTGGTGCCATATGGAATCATAGAATCATAGAATAGATTGGGTTGGAAAAGACCTCCAAGATCATCAAGTCCAACCCCTGATCCAACTGCAGTTACTATATCATGGCACTAAGGGCCACGTCCAATCTCTTTTTGAAAACCTCCAGGGATGGTGAATCCACCACCTCTCTGGGTAGGCCTTTCCAATGCCTGATAACCCTCTCTGTAAAGAATTTCTTCCTAACATCTAACCTAAACCTTCCCTGGCAGAGCTTGAGCCCATGTCCCCTTGTCCTATTGTTGGTTGCCTGGGAGAAGAGACCAACCCCCACCTGGCTATAACCTCCCTTCAGGTAGTTGTAGAGAGTGATGAGGTCACCTCTAAACCTTCTCTTCTCCAGACTAAACAACCCCAGCTCCCTCAGCCTCTCCTCATAGGACTTGTGCTCAAGTCCCTTCACCAGCCTCGTTGCTCTTCTCTGGACCTGCTCCAACACCTCAATATCCTTCCTGAACTGAGGGGCCCAGAGCTGAACACAATACTCAAGGTGTGGCCTCACCAATGCAGAGTACAGGGGAAGGATCACTTCCCTGCTCCTGCTGGCCACACTGTTCCTGATGCAGGCCAGGATGCCATTGGCCTTCTTGGCCACCTGAGCACACTGTTGGCTCATGTTCAGCCTCCTGTCGATCAGCACCCCCAGGTCCCTTTCCGCCTGGCTGCTCTCCAGCCACTCTGTCCCCAGCCTGTATCGCTGCAGGGGGTTGTTGTGGCCAAAGTGCAGGACCCGGCACTTGGCCTTGTTGAACTTCATTCCATTGGAGTCAGCCCATCTCTCCAGTCTATCCAGATCCCTCTGGTATGCTTGGTTTCAATTTTTAAGTGCTGCTACAGTTGAATTAGTATCCTACAGGTATAAAATGTGGACGTTCCCCAGCATGCAGTTAGTGTAGTTTTGGGGATTTTTTATGTTTGGGTTTTTTTTTTCAAACCTTTGAGTACATCCTCCTTCTGTACTTAGACCTGTCCGTGTAAAAGCCAAACTGACTCTAGCCTTCTTTGGATGTGGCTGAGCTCTGCTCACTTTTTAGAGCTGAAAATGAAATTTAAGGAAGTTCTTTCCTAAGAGTGGGTGTATTGCTGAGAGAGCTGCCTCTCCATACTGCAGACAGATCTGCCTCCATCCTGTCCTGCCTGCACCCTGAGCAGAGGGTGCTCAGGGCATCATGGCACCAATGGCTGGCTGAGGTGTTCTCCACCATTCTCTGGTCTGAGACTGCTGCCACCATCCACACTCTGCTTTTCTGTATCTAACATATACCTAATCTCTTTACTCTCCGTAGTTTTAGCTACATTGCTGAGAGAATAGAGGTAGTGCAGCAGGGATTTTTTTGAAATCAGTATGAAACTTGGGTTTGATACCATGGTGTTATGACTCTTCCAATCCTCTGGCTCCTGACTAAATTATCATTCAGTTAGAGCCCATATGGCTTAATTGCTGAGGCAGCAATGACAGTGTTGTGTTACTTTTCAGGGGTTTTCTGTCCTTTAGCTGAAATACGTCATTAGTAGAGTCTTTGTGTCTTCTGGTACCACTGTGCAGCAGCGAGATCTGCGTCCAAATTTGAGGTGTTTCCATTTTATTTAGAGTATTGTTTGGCAGGTTCCTCTAATGGAGCATGCTAAAGAATAAGCAGTCTAGGGAAATCAAACTTGCCAACCTTGAAACACTAATTCCTGGAAAGACCGGCTGGTTGCACTCATTTTTCTCTGCATGGAGATATTCAGTGATGAAGGACTTGGCTGGTGGTCAGCTCCACTTGTACAGTCAAAACTCACTCACTCAAGATTACTTGGGACAGACACAAACATGTTCTAGCTGGGTCCTTGCAGACTCTCAAGATCCAGCAGGGTTCATTAACTTTGGCTCATTGCCAAGCAAATGCAACTCTTGTGTGCCTAGACCAAGTAGGATCTGGTGTTTTGGCATGGAGTCCAAGCTGTTAAAGCCTGCCAAGCATGAAGGGTGCAGATCTGGGTCCAGTTCGGTTCTTGGATCCAGGAGCTCTGGAAACACATTGTGGATTTCTGACCATATGGATCTGCTTGGGACCATCAGGGCTTATTAGATCAACAAAAGTTTCTGCCATGTTAACCTCAAGCTTATTTCTGTGCCTGGTTTTAGTTCAGTTTTTATTAAGTTTTCTTTTATGTTGTTTTTTTTGTTGTTCTTGGTTGAGGTGGGGTGGAGGTGTGTGTTTTAAAACTGACTCTGAGATCTGGGGAAATTTATTAGCTTGGTCAGCCTCAGGCTCAGCTAAAAGTTTCTGCACTTGCAGTATGGCATGTAAGGAGCTTCTTGGAAGCAGACTGCACAGGCACTGAGTGTGCTCAGCGGGAACCAGCGCAGGGCTAGCACTGAGTTAGAGCTGCTAGACTCTGATCTTAAATTGACTTTTAATTCCTCTATGCTTTAATTCCCAGCTCATTTTGCAGTGAAACAGTATCCACTGCCTGCTTTCTCACAGCCTATATGAGCCATGATATTGGAGCTCTGACCAATACACCCAAAGTACGGAGGCCTGGATGGACTCTGCCAGTTAGGACTTGTGTTTTGGTTTTGTGGCGTGTGTAGCCATGGTACGTACTAGTTAGACTGTATATTTAATACCTGCCGATGTCATAAGGGTAATTAGCTTTCCTATTTAGATTCGAAAATACTCTCTAGAAAAATTGCAGTGTGCTTGATGTAAGTCAAAATAATTTTAAGAAAATATGCTTGATACTCTGTGGGCTGTTACAGTACTTGAAATTATTTTTGCTCACAGAATTCACAAATGCTTGCTTAACTTTTCCAGGCAAAAGGTCATACAGCTCTTACGGGTTTTCTTTCATATGCAGGTGCAGCTGGGACAAGCGGATATAAAATGCCCTATCACAGAGTGCAGCGAACACCTGGATGAAACAACTGTCCTCTATAACCTGCCCCATGATGACATCATCAAGTATAAATATTTCCTGGAACTCAGCCGCATTGACTCCAGCACCAAGCCATGTCCTCAGTGCAAGCACTTTACAACCTTCCGGAGGAGAGGCCACATTCCTACCCCTGCCAAATTGGAGAACAAATACAAAGTGAGCATGCTTGCTAGGGCTGTGGGTTAGATGGCACTGCAAAAGTAGAACAGCATTTGGTGGGCATTAAATGAGCTTTTTTTGCTTCAGTGGAGCTGTGTGCAAGCTGTGATTAGAAATATGAATCTGTAGTATGTTGTTGATTAACTACTTACTTGTCTTCAAATAGTTCAAGGACTTAAACTTCAGCCCTTTTTTTTGTTTGTTTTTTTGGCAGGGAGTGTAATTTTGTCCTGACATACATTTTAATTTAAAGAGTGTTTTCTCTCAACATGCAAACAATATGGTCACAATCAGAAGAGAGTGGGGAAAGGGAACTTATCACTATAACCAGTAATTCTAGACACACTGCCCTTAACTTTTCCCTGAAACTCTGAGTAAATGAATTCTGGTCATTTATGCTGTTAGGCAGTTGGCTTTACTCCTTTCTTAGTAATAGAGCTGTTGTCCATCCTGCTTCTTGGTTTTGATTTCTTCACTCTCTTACCAGACATAATACATTACTGTAGCCTCATCACTCACAATGCAAAAACTTGAGAAATAGGAGGGGAAAAACCCACTTCTACAGCATTTCTTTTCATAGAAGATTTGCTTATACTGTGATTTAAATCAAAGATAAAAAGCAAGAGTTTAGAAGAAGCTTTGTGCTGCTGAAGGTCCATCTAAATTCCAGAAAATGACGTTTCTGTCTGCAGCATCATGTTCTGTGTTAGTTTTCCATCCGGTTATTAGATTTGATGTGGTTAATTTCATGATTGAGCTGGCCTTTCCTGGACAAACCAGTTTCCTCAGTAGGAGTTTAGATGACTGTTTAGATAACTCTAATTACACAGCATAAGATTCAACCCAGTATGAAGATTAAAAGGTAGAAGGTTGTGTATTCATTGGAGTTGAATAATTGGTAAAGCTAATTCTGAGTTATGAGCTATTTATGTATATCTGTGCAAGGCATGAATTACATGCCACAATCACAATGTCTGTTGGGCTCAATGTTTTCAGATTTTTGGTGTCTTACATTGAGATGGAAAAATTTGAAACTGCAGGTAAAATTCCTTCCGCTCACGGCCATTCTCCTTCACCCATCTGCTTCATCATCACCACATATGAGATGTAGTCCAGGGTAGATCAGAGCAGGTAAGGCTTCTACAGCCACCTCCCTTAAGGTGTCAGGAGCTATTACTGTCTCAAAAGTGTGGGTCATAGGTGATGCAGCTGTTGTATCATGGGCATGCCAGATCTGAGAATATTCCTCAAGGCATAACCAGTGCTCTTTTCTGAGTCAAAATGCTACAGTTAAAATGTTCCTATGACTTCCCTACAAACTACAATCAGAAGGAATGGGTGACTGTGATGGATAGTACAAGCCAGCAGCAGTTTACTGGTCCTGCAGTGATTCATTATGTGTAACTCTGATCTGCAGAGCTTAAGTCTCCTGGGAACAGACTCTGGCAAAATGTGTCCTTTGAGCTGAGCCCAGGTGTTGTGTGCAAGAATGTCTAATTGATGCTAGTCAGAAATATAATTAGGAAAGTGCTAGCAACATTATGGATGATCATGGGCCACAGGGCATCACCCTGCTCCCTGAACATCTACTGTTTTCTGGTATACACACAGTTTTAGTGATTTATTCTAAGCTTAGCACAAAGAGAAGTTCTGCTGCAGGGAGAAGGTTTAGAAAGAAGACTATATCAGAAATTGAGTATATGTGAGTAATTACATGCACACATAGCTGTGGACCGATATTATCTTGGTTTTCTTAGGTTCTCATGTGATTGCTTGTGTGCATCCTCTCTGTGTCCTGAATGTGTTTTCAATGCAGTTGTTAGATAAACTATCTTTTGTTTTAACTGGTGAAGAGTTTCTGAAACTTGTTGCTCTTGAACTAGCAGGAGTCCATACCAGCAGAGATACTGTGATACAGCTGATCTGCGTTATTTATACCAAGTAGTTCCTCACTTTTTGGATCAGATTTTAACCTTTAAGTCACAGATATCTTCATGGCTGTTTATCACTTCAACCTACCTTGAGCCTCAACTGCTGTGGATATGGTGATTTTGCCATGCTTTCCGTCTTTCCCCTCAGCTGTTCATTCCTGCCAGCCTGCTTTTGCTCATGTTGATGTTTTGGTGTCACACTGGGAACTGGATCAATGATCAGCCCTAATGGGACACAACATTTGTTTTCGTTGTTGCTTCATTTTCAGCTGCTACAAGAAAGAGGTTGGGTTAGTGATGAGGAGAAGGAAGCTGTTTGGGCCGGAGCCCATATTTATTTTCAAATAAAGTGACAGTAGCTGTAGCTAGAGACTGTAATTCATGTGATCAGTTAGTTGCATAATTAGTTTGACCATCCTATTATATAGCTATTACCAGCAGAAAATCCAACTAAGCTTTTTGCACCTTGAGGTTCTCAGAATATTTTTCCTGTGCAGTCAGTTTTGCTATCATCATGTCATATTAATCAGTGTTTTGTGTTGAAATTATTTATCGATTTTGAAAGGTCTTTTCCTGAGAAGTGAGGAAACTGATAAATAAAATAGTTTGCAGTAAAAAGGCTAGCTAAGAAAATGAAAAATGTTAGCTTCAAAGGTCAGTGTTTCAGAAAGCTGAGAACTAAGAGTTGTGTAAGGTTTTCTATTTCAAGGGAGACTGACCTCTAGTATAGACTGACCTCCAGGCATAGAAGTTTGTGTATATATCCATCCTCTCAATTCTAATCTTTGGAAATGGAAACCATACAATAAATGGAAAAATGTTTGTGTGAGGAAAAACATTTTTGAAAAAACTCTGGGTTAATGTTTTGGGCTTTTGTAGGTATAGTTTCTCTGCTTTGCTGGACTATATTTTACTGGTTTAAATCATATGTAGATAGCACTTCTGTGCCCTTGTTACGATGGATTCATGCACTAATACTGAAGCATAAAGCAAATCATATTTGACTTTCTTTCAGAACAGCAGAGAAAGAGTGGAATAAGAATATGAAAGACTGCAGTATTTCTGCAATCTTTGTGTTTCTGTTTAAGCATGTTGGTGTCACACTGCATCCAAGTTCGAATGGGTTTAGGAGTTTGTTTTGTGATCACTAGTTCCAAGAAAAATAAGGTTCGTAAGTACTTACATCATTTTCTTTGCCTGCTTAGTGTATGCTCAGCATTGAACCATGGAGAAGGGAAGTGGCCCATTCAAAATATAAAAACAATTTACTAGTTCAGTTTTGAGGAAGGTGCTGTCAGGGTGGCAGGTGGAAGAGGAAACTGGTAATGAAACACAGTTCTCACTAGTTCAGTTAGTTAGGGCCATTTGTGGTAAAAAATGTTATTTCAAGTTCATACGGTTGTAGCCTCATCTTGTATTTCAGTATTTTCTAATTAATGTGTTTGGAAACAGGTGATGTCAGTATGTGTGTAAGTTTAAATATATATCCTAGTGGCTGCTCTATTACTTTCACTTATGTAGATGCTATAATAGAAAGATAGAACCTGCAATTAATTTGTGTCAGATTTTCACCAAAAACCAAACCAAAACTGAACCCACGAAACTTGTTTTAAATTAAGTTGCAATTTTTTTTAAGAAAGAAGATTTAACTTGCAGCTTTTCTACCTGTTGATTTGTGTTTGTATTTTTTTAACATCTGTGTTCTGTCTCAAATATCTGAATACTACAACTATTAAAAGTAAGTGATACTTGTAAGGGGTACAGGATATCAGAATTTAGTGTCACACTCTTATTGTATCTGCTTGATATGAAGGAAATGTATGTATTGTAATACTTAAATGCACATACAATATTTTTTTTCTTTACAAAGATAATGACCAGTAGATGGTAACAGACTAAAATGTTATGTATTGTAATGAGAAGAAAGTCTCTCAATTTCTTGGTGCTGTTTCACTTCTGTGCACTTCAGCTGTATGCCCAGCAAAGGATCATGAATGGGAACATGCTATCTTAAGGGTAGTGAGAAAATTTTCTCGACCCTTAATTCCTGTTCTTGCACTTGATGATCCACAGATGTGGATTGGCGTGAAGAGGTAAGCTGAAGTGATGCACTGAGCAGCACATTGCATAGACCCTTATTAAAAGTATAATATGTGGTTAAACAGGTCAAGATGTGCTGGTTTAAAAGTGAACCAGTGGGAGAAATGAACCCAACTGTAGAGAGATTATAAATTGGAGTTACAATTTACTAAAAATAAATTACAATAGATGTAATGATACAGAGAAAAACTTGTTTTAACCCGCAAAAACAGATGTATAGCCCAGCCCCCTGGGACAAGAGCAGAACAGTGTTCTTTGGCCCCTGTGCTGAGCACCACATGGCCCCCCTGGGTGCAAAGTAAAAGGAGAGGAAAACCTGCTGGTCCAGGTGATGATGGTAGTTCTGTTGAGGTAATTTTCACAGTCTTGTTGAGAGTGGCAGTCGCAGTCCTGTTGGAGTTCTGGTCCTCCTCTGGATCCAACTAGTGATACCAGAAGTCTCAAAACCCCAAGATTATATATGCTCAGGTTCAGGTGGGAATGTCCTGTATCTCCCCCAGGGCAGGGAGTTTCACAATGGGTGATTTAAGTGAGTCTTGTGATATTTTTGGAGTCTTTGATGGTCTAGGTGTTGCAGCTGCCTATTATACCAGTCCAGTATGGCCCACTAGCAAAGATGACCCCTCAGGCTGGGTGTGAAGGTGCTAATGCCTCCCTGGGATGGGGGGAGTTATCACAGCTGAGTCCTTAGATGTGCCCTGGGCAGCTGCTGCAAATGATCCATTATCAGCTGTCCATCAGAAATGACATAGAGGGTGTAGAATACACAGTTTTGGTTATACCCACATAGTAATAAACTGGTCCTGGCCTCTGTAACTAGGACAACATCGCACAATACAAACCAAGCTATGACTGTTTGACACTGCTGCAGTGGAAAAAACAATATTGCTCTTTACTGGTGAAGTTAGACAGCCACTGAAAAATAGGTTAGCTAGGGTCATAGAAAAGCTCAGGTTGAACAATTATGTCAATTAGGTTTGCAATGTGAAACATTAAAGGCAAAAAACTAAATACTCTCTCTGTGTATAGAAGTTGGGGAATAACGTTAAAGGTAACAGACAGCTTCATTTCTGGGTCATGCATCAGAGATCAGATCAGCTTGGTATTATCATGTCAGTAGTGACAGATGTAGTGATTGCACATATAAATAATTTAGGCTACCCCCCAGCAAAGCATATAAGGGAGATCAGAGCACCTACTTTGGACTCTTAACTGTAGTCAAGGAGGCACACCACCAGTTAGCATGTCTGAACAGAGGGCACAGCAACTGCTGGGAGTGAGAACTCCAGAAATGCATTTTGGGGATTTCACATGTGACTACACTCTAGGATGCAGTTTCCTGAACAGCACCCCCACACCATGCATGGCCAGCACAGACATGTCCATGGTTTGGTGGTGAACCAAATGTGGACACAGATATAACCTTTGTTTGGCTGGTGGAATCCCTCAATCCCATCCATCAGCTGGTACAAAGCCAGGGTAGTGACAGACGTAGACTGCAACTGGAGATAGTGGACAGGGCTCAGCAGTGGCTTGAGAGGTGTGATTTCCCATCTTTCAGGCTGAAACGTTTTTCAACCAAACACAGCAGAATTGAACATGTTGCAAAAACCTGGATGTGCCTGTGTCTAATATGGCTTCTAGTTCTTGCTTTCCTGAGTCACAATCCAGGTAGGAGGCCTGTCTTTCATCAGATAAGAATGTGCCTCTATTTATTACTTGGCAAACACAGCAACTGCCATAGCTTTTCAAACAGAAAATGGGCAGGCTCTGGAAGAAGCAATGACATGATGACGATGGTACCTGTTTGGCATGATGATTTAAAACCGAGAGAGTGGAAAGAATAGATCCTTTCTCAATTTGAGTATAGCTTTTGGCTTTTGCCATTAGGTGTGGTGTGTAGCAAGCAGGCTGTTTGTCACAGCCTCAGCTTGCCTTTACGCAATCAAGAGCAAAAGGAGGTGCCTGACTTCCAGTTGGTCATTCTGGCTCTTGGATGAGAACCTTGCTCATGGCCCCTGTTCCCAGGACCATTTCTAATATAGCTTCCTAACCCATTCTGGGTTCTGTAGAGCCCTCTCAGAAGACCAGGTACTCTCTGATAATAGCCTTGGCAGTGAAGTTTATTACTAGAAGACGACAGATCTACTGCAATGAAAACTATCTGCTAATTTTTAGGTGATCTCACAAATGTAGGAAGCAAGTGAATAAGCTTCCTGGATTTTGCCTTTTGTCAGTTGAGCCACACAATGTATTTGGGGAGCAGTTCCTATGGTTGAACCAAGCTACTTGTGTTTTGTTTGATTGAGGCCTTTCCTGACTTTAGCAATTGCTTCTGTATTTTCTCTCTTTTTTAAAAAAAAATAGAACAAGCTAGCTTCCACAACTTCTTGTGTTTTTAAAACAGACCCTTCAAAAGATGCTGGACCTTTGCTGAGCAGCTACTCTCTTAATTGAAGAGCAGTGGTTTTAAAACAGGCTTTCTAATTGGATCAGCGTCCAGCTTGTAAACATGTGGTGTTTTCTCATTTGTACAGATCCAGTGTCCATCTTGCCAATTTGTTTGGTGTTTCAAGTGCCACTCTCCCTGGCATGAAGGCGTTAACTGCAAAGAATACAAGAAGGGAGACAAGCTGTTACGTCACTGGGCCAACGAAATTGAACATGGGCAGAGGAATGCCCAGAAGTGTCCAAAATGCAAGGTGAGCTGCTCTCCCTTGGCTTGCAGGTATTGTTTATTAAATATTAAAATAAATATTTTTAACTTCTGCTCAGCATTGAAAATGAAATTCACACTTGCTTTTCAATGACCCCTTAAGAAAAACAAGGTCAGATGTTTTACTTGCTGGTTTATGTATTGATTCTGCAGAATATCTGCCTGTAAAAGCAACGTTATGGAAATAGTAAGGGGGGGCATTGATATATGCTTAGAATCATAGAATGGTTTGTGTTAAGGAATGTACTACAGAATAAATCATTCCTAAAATAAAACTTTAAAGAAATGGGAAGCTGTAGAGAAATATTATACCCTTTGTCAGGTTTTCTAGGGAGTTTGAGTGAATTCAGTTTAAGGGAGAATTTAAGATTTGGCAAAATTGTGAGTTTTTTAGGATTAAATGTCAGTTCTGCACAAGTAACATCTCAAGGTGTGACTTCACAGGCCACTCCTCGAGTACTGTATCTGATTCTGGGCCCCTCACTTCAAGAAAGACATTGAGATGCTGGAGTGAGTGCAGAGAAAGGCAGTGAAGTGGTGAAGGGTCCAGCAGGTAAATCCTGTGAGGAGTGGCTGAGGGAGCTGGGGTTGTTTAGCCCAGAGAAGGCTCAGGGGAGACCTTATCCCTTGCTACAACTACCTGAAAGGAGGTTGTAGCGAGGTGGAGGTTGGGGACTTCTCTAGTAGAGCCTCAAGCTGCTCGAGGGGAGGTTCAGGCTGGACATCAGGAGGAATTTCTTCACTGAAAGAGTTGTCAAACATTGCAATAAGCTGCCCAGGGAGGTGGTGGAGTCACCATTCCTGGAGGTGTTCAAGAAATAACTGGACATGGCACTTCATGCCGTGGTTTAGTAGACAAGGTGATGGTCAAAGGTTAGACTTGATGATCTCTGAGGTCTTTTCCAACCTAGATGATTCTGTGAAGTGTTTCTTCCTAATTAGTTTAATTTTCAACAGTGAAGTGCAATAGTCATACACCCTAAAAATATCATTAATCTATTCCAGGATAGGAAATACTTCCTACTACTCAAATGAGATTCAACAGCCCTGCATACCCTTGACCTGGTTGCCCTTAATGAAGGAGCCGTTACCTTGGTTCACTATTTTTTTTTTTTTTGAAAGAGAATACCTAGTCTGAAATTTTCTATTGCTCTAAATCTGCATAGACAGGACAAAGTAAGAAAACTGGAATGTTTGGTGGAAAATAAATATTGAAAGGGAGATTTACTCGTAAATACACCAAGTGTATGTCACACTTTGAGCCTTACACTGTGCAAATAAGAAAATGTTCATCAGCTTAGTAAGTGTCTCATTTTGGTCTTTGGGAAAGAAATGCCTGTGATGCCATAGCTTGAAAGATTTTGAAACACTAAGCAAAATTGGAAAGCTCTAAAATCAGCAGCTAGTTGTTTACCCTCCCTCATGCACATGTGACATTTTAACAGAGTTTTTACAGCTTGCTCTTTGGTAAGAGTTGATAGGTTTGAGCCAGTTCTAAAAATGTTCAGTTTCTGGGAAGTCATAAAATAAAATCCTTTGTTCCTTTTCGAGTGGGACCTGTGTTTTGGTTTTAATTCTTTGACTTGTGTCCAGATTCAGATTTTGTGACAATGCAAATAATGTAACTATTGTAATAAGTTGTCCAAAAAAAGAAGAAAGTGGACCAAGCAAAAAAGTATGAATGTGGAAAAACAAGGAGAGAAGAAGGCTGCTAGCTGGAAAGAGAAAGGAACTAAAACCGCTAACTATAACATATTCAGCCTGAATAAGTAATAAATTAAAAATGCCATATTTAAATGTACAACTCTTTTCACCATCTTCAAAAAAAAAAAAGGCTAGACACTTGAAACTTTTGTGGCTTGTCACTAATTGTGAAGCATAAAATGGCATGAGTTAGGCTGCTAGTTTCAAAAACACTTTAGGTTTCTTTCCATAATCAAAGGAAAATAAAACCTCCTACATAGTGGGAGGCAGTATGGAAAGTTATGAAACTAGCACAGAAAAAAGAAACTCTGTCAAGTCCTTTCTGTTGATGTGTATTGTAAGTGAATATTGAAGAGGGAATTCAGCTTTGTTAGAAACTGTTCCCACCCTTACTCCTGATGCTTTTTTCTTCAGAAATGAAAAATATTCTTCCTGTCTGCAATCTCCAAAATGTTTCTATCAACACGTTGTTTATTTTTAAGTCAAATCTATAACTAGCAAGTAATCAAAGGACCAGTTAGCCAATGGTTAGTGATACTGTTGTTCTTTCTTCTTTTTCAACAGTTATTGAGTAATTAAAAAAATACATCTTTGGCAGCACTCTTCATCAAGTCTTTAGTAGATATCTGGGCATTCCAACAGTTAACAATTTGGAGTCAAGAGGATTAGACCTAACACTTCTCTCTCCAGCCATCCCCCTAAAACCTCTATATAAAATAACATTGAATCAAATGACAATCATATTTCCAAATAAAATAAAGAGAAAGACAGAGAAAATAGAGTTGATAACATACCATTTAATTTATTCTTGTTCTAGGTCCACATAGTCAATGTTTCAGGTGATAGCATATTTTATTTTTAACCTCTTTAGTGTGTTGGTTAAAAATTTGCAGCAGCCAAAGTTTACAGATTGAGGAAAAGTCAAGATGAAATTTTGTCTGAAGATATTAGTATTCAGTCTTTACGCTAAAACTGAAACTAAGAAAAATTAGAGACAGAAATTTCAGTGGTAGAATTTCTTTGCTTAGATAATTTGTAAAATTACTGGTAACTTCCGAAGTTACTGATTACAGTGTAAACTGTGACCATATTTTACAGATACCTTCTGGAGATAATTATTTATGCACACCACATAGATGCATACACATACAGACTCTCTCTTTAAGTAGCTGTACCACAGAGAAGTCAAATGCACTATTATTATCTTGTCTGGGCATGCAGGTGAGAAAATGCAAACACATTTATGGGGGCATGTATGTATTGGCAGATCCTCAGGCAAGTATTCACAAGTTTTTCAGTGGTTTTGGTAAGTGCTTTGAAAGAACATAATCCTTTGTAATCTAAATATAGTGGGGACTGTTGAATAAACTTAAACTTGATTGCTTTTTGCTGTAGCTGGATACAGCTTCAGTGAATCTAATAGGAATAGCTTATATTTACCTAGTCTCTCTAAAGGATGTTTACATAAGATAATAATGTTACACACTGTCCAACTATGTAATTGTAGATCCATGTTTTGATTGTATATTGGTATGGAGATACGCTACTTTTTTTAAACTGTATCTTAAATTAGTTTTTATATATTTTTTTTGTTTTTAATAGAACCTTTTCCAAATTTACTATAAGCTATTTTAAGGAAGTCAGCATAGACAATTTTTCTCAACAAGACTTGTCCAAAAAGTGCTGGTCCTGTTCTAGAGAGAGCTGGCTAATGCATGCAAACTTGCTACGTGTTTTTGGATGCCATTTGACTAAATCTATAACATTACTTGTCTTTCCCTACTACTGTTTTAGGGGTTTATTTTTTACAATTTCTAGCTAGGTGTTTGCAGGAAAATGCCTTTGTTTCCGCAAGTGTCTTTACAGTACAGCAAACCAAGGAAGTACTTCATGTTGGTGTTATCTTACCACAGATTTCAAAAACAGCACTGTCTGAGGAAACACCACACAGCAGCTCTAGTTTAGAAAGCTTTGAACAGCAACAGAAGTTTAAGTAAACAAGGATGTCAATGCAAATAAAGGAGAGTGTACTTCTTATCTGTGGCTTATCCGTTCTGATTACTATAAGTGTTATAGCTCAGGCCATAGATTTTGAAGGTGCTTTGCAAATTAATTCTCATCCTCTGGAGGGAGGAGGGTCCTTATTTGTATACAAAGGGATAAAGCTGTGCAGATTCTCTTCAGGAGTACAGGAGAAACAGCCATTCTCACCCTCAGAACTTTTGGCAGTGGTTTCCCTAGAAGATTTCTATGAGAGGACTTGTAACATTCAGAGGTAAAGTGAAGGTCTGAAATAGCCACTGTGCTACTTTAGTTGTTTCCTTAAGACTCTGAGCTAGGTATGCTTGCCTTTGATGTGTAATTTTTACCCTTCTTGTTCTGGAAGCCATTTTTGGGTTTCTGAATGACTAAACCTTCCCCTGTAAGGTGAGGGTACATCTTTGGTTTTGAATGGATATTGGGTGTAGGATGAAGCCTGTTGCATTTACTGAATGTTTGGAGGCAGAAACTGTGCTTGCAGTCATCATGCTCTCACCTTGCCTCCTCTACCCTCATGGTGCTGCTGGGAACCCTGCAGTTACAAAGCTCTGGACCCCACACAGCTGCAGCTAACTATAGCAAGCTGCATTCCTGGCCCCATACATTCCCCCGGCTGCCTGTTGCATACCGTGGTATTGCCAGTGGAGCAGGAACAGTCATGTGATATCTGATCCATCAGCTATCACTTTCTCAATTTATAGATTTGTAATCCATCTCTGTCAGTGGATTATCTGGAGGGCAGGGAGGCATGTCCATGTGAACCAGAGCTGAAGTTGATCTGGTGAGATGTCATGTCTTAGGCTTGAAAGCAGCAGAGTTCATCTGGCATTGTCAGTCTGCGTGCATGTGACCGAGAGTCCAAGCCCTGCATCTGAGGTTTGGGTTTGTTTTTTTTTTTACTTCATTTTTTTGATAAAGTCTCTCCTCACTGTAAAAAGGAAAGTTCTTTCAACAAAAAAAATATGGGCAAGTACAACCAGTTGTTCCAGATTTGCAGCTTTTGAAGATAGTTACATATGTGCAGATAAGTATTCACTAAATTTTTTTTTATGGTTTACTTTTTGAGGAACCAACATAAAGTATATGTAATTGCAGTATGTGTCTGTGATAAAATAAATCCCATAAAAGAAGTATCAACTTCTTTTATGTTTAAAGAGGATGGTATGACTGGAGGACTTAGAGTAGAAACAAGTAGATTGTCAAATGGTTCAGCAGTGGTGCCTAGCTAACTGGAGCTGGTTTGCATCTAGGAAAGCATGGGTAGGCAGTTGGCAGGCAGTTTCTAAGAGGTGTGAATATTTATGAAAGGTATGAATGGTAGAACATATAAAACTATTTCCAGCATCTCCTTGAAGTTCTTACTACCAAAAAAATTATTTTATTTTTGAAACATGAAGTAGTTTTGGTTTGCATCTAGGGTTTTTATAGGTTCCAGGCTCATACAGACTTTCAGTTAGGATGGATGGTAACTTAATTGGGTTGGTAAATTAGAGAAGAGAAAGGAGAATTCAATGGTTTTGATTCAAAAAGAAGATAAAACAACCAGTTAATTCTCATCAGTGGGATAAGATCTAGTTCCCTCAGGTACATTTTTAAGATGGAGTCAGCAGATAAGGAAAGTTACCTCTAAAATTGCAGAAGTCCATATAGTTGCTTTCTGAATTTCAGTCCCCTAAAAAACTAATTGGAATTAAAATTTAAAGTTGATTTGTTAAAATACATTAAGTCACTAATAAAGTTCCTTCATTTCAGTTCAAGTTAATCTTAGGAATTACATTAAACTGTGGCTCCATGAGCAAGGTCAACATTTTTTCACATGTAACCTGAAAAGTAAAAACAAAAGTCAAACTGACAATATAATGTCCCTTCTAGAAGAAAATAGTGTATAACTTTGTAAGTTATGCTTAAGTTGGTACAATATTGAGTAGACTTCTGTTCCTACTTTGCTTATTCGGTGCTTAAATGTGAAAGCTTTAAAATCAAGTGGCTTATAAAGCTCATCAGCAATGGTGTTTTTTCAGGTGCTTCTGGAAAACAGGGTAGCTGTGATACAGCAGGCTTTCTCAGGGTGGAGAGGGTTGCTTGGTCAAGGGATGCTGTTTGCATCCCTTGTCTGGGGCAAATGTAAGTCTGCTAGAATCCTTTCTCACTAGAAAGTATTTTTATAGCCCAATTCTCTCTTTTGTGAATGTCTTTCTCCTCTCATGTTTGAAAGCAGCATTTGAAAGTGTAGAAGTGCAAATTCTGGGATCACTGCTGTTGACACAGAGATGTTGGCAGGTGTATCTGGAACTGCTGTTAACTACATCTGCCACTGGATCTTTTATCGTGAATACTGCTGGTGGACAACATCACTTTGCTACATGTATAAAGTGCCAATTTCAGTAGATGTGTGGGTGAGTCAGGTGTGATCCCAGATGACCTCTGATCAGCACCAAAGAACAAACACATATGACCCTCTCAATAATGTTGGATACCTCAGGAGCCATGAGCCTCTCTTGAGGTACCTGAGCTTTCAGTGTCTCTGATGCTTGCAGGGTCACAGAGTGGTGATGCCTTGTCTTCTCCTGTATCTCCCTGAAAAATAAATATATGTAGATATCTGTAGGAATTTCAGGAGGCATTCATTTATCCATTGCAACTTTCAACAGATAAAATTCCGGTTGTATGTAACAGAAAAAAATATTCCCAGGGAGAATGGTGAAGGATGGTCGGACAGGTTGCTCAAAGAGGCTGTGACATACCCATACTTGGGAATTTTTAAAATTTAATGGGATGAGACTTGGAGCAATCTGATCTGACTTTGAAGTTAGTCCAGCTTGGAGCTAGGGGTTAAAATAGATGACCTCCAAGAGTCACTTTCAGCCTCAATTATTAGGTAATTTTATCTGCCTTTCTGTGGACCACTGTGGAATGTGGTCTCAGGATGTGGGACAGGGGTTGTATGTGGGATGTGTGTAGCAATTCTGTGGGCTAGGAAGAGCATGTGTTTACCACTCCATTAGCTGTGGTTTTCGTTGACACGTTTTAAAGTAGCATGTAATCGTATTTGATTTCATGGAATACTCAGGACCAGGATTACCCTCTCTCCAAAGACTCTTGGAACTGTTAACAAAAACCAGAGCTTTATTAGATCTGTGCAAAGTAGGTAAATTTTATCAGTTTGCAGAAGAGTACATGGAGATACAGGAATGGAACTATTTCTGCTGGCAATCAGCAGAAAGATGGATGTAGAACCTAGGCAGCCCTGCTTCATGCTCTACTGTGGGCATCTTGATCCTTGGTGTAATTTTTAATATGGTTTGTGGAATCTTTCTGGGAAAAAAACCCCACAACAACAAACAATGCCACAACAACAAAAATACTTGTGAAACGATTCACTGTAACAGCAGTGTCTTTCTGGTGTATATTACAAAATGCCAAATCAATTTGTGATGGGAAAGGGATGGGGGCACAGGTGGTGTGAGAGGAAAACCCATCTGTGGAGAGGTCAAACAGAGTTCATAGCTACATTTACTGTGCTGCTTTTATTTTTAATAAAGTTCAGTGCTAATGTGTCTTCTTCAGAAATAAAAACAAATTTTCAGTAAGGGCAAGGATCACTCATATTCTCATCTGATATGAAGAGTGTTTAAGCAAGGAAGGAGAATTATGCAGAAAATGGAAATCTGGAAACAACTTATAACTCATATTTAATGCTCTGAAACTTGCCTTAGAAAACCATTATTGTCTTAAACCAGCTGCAGTATTAATTAATGCAAATGCAGACTTAAGCAAGGTGTTGCTTGCAGTGTCTTTTCATCTGGCACATGGATTGTACTGGGTAGCTGCTTTCCTGTGCTTAAGGAAGGGGGAAAATAACTTTTTTTTTCCTTCTTCTCATACAGATCCACATCCAGAGAACCGAAGGGTGTGACCACATGACCTGTTCGCAGTGTAATACTAATTTCTGTTACCGTTGTGGGGAGAGATACCGCCAGCTCCGCTTCTTTGGAGATCACACGTCAAACCTCAGTATCTTTGGATGCAAATACCGCTACCTCCCCGAGAGACCACATTTAAGGAGATTAGTGCGAGGCTCTGTTTGTGGTGAGTGGATAAAGGTTCCTTGTGGAGAGCTGCACAATGAAGTGATTGGGGGGATAAGGCAATATTTAAAGTAAAACATGGTTTAAAGTATTGGATGGGCAACTTGTTTTTCAGTTATGTAAAGGGGAGGTATCAAATATATTTAAATATATCACATTTGCACTCCTTTTTTAGATAGACTTGTATGAGTAAGTATTTTGTCCTCTAATGATAGCTTCTGTTTCCTAACCTTTTTTAGTAATACATAAGCAAACTGGAAAAATGCTGTCAATATGCATGTGGCTGGCTGTGTTTATTATTCTAAAAGCATATAGGAGAAATGGATAAGAGCAGGAATCTTTTTTTAACCTCTCCGTTAAGGATCTGTTTGAATAAAGCGCCGTTATGATTTGAACTTGATCTGGGTTATTTTTTAACTGTTAGCTTCAGTTCAGATAACATTCAGCTTAAAAGAAAATAATATAAATTTACTTTCTCTCAGAAATATGATCCCAAAATACAACCATACAAAATGGTTGTATTAATGTAAAAAACTGGGGACCTGATAAGGAAAATAGAACTTCTTGTACTTTGAATTAAGTCATAGAAATTGGAAATGACTTGGAATTCACCTAGGATTAGGAAATGCTTTGAGCTTATCAATTGGTGATGTTGATTGCAGAGGTAAAGGTAAGAGTCTGTACATGTGGAAATATAAGTCAGCAGACCTGAGGTGAAAACATTACTCCTGAGTCCAGCATATTCCAGTAAGAAAACTGGGTGATTTTTAGAGTAACACAAGAGTTGGCACACAACCATAGACCTGGTAATAAAAATGCCCATCTTGCTGATCTGCAAAGTTGTGGAAGATTCACAAACCCGGAATGCTTGTTTAACAAGCAACAATAAGTCATTCAAGCCCATTAATTTGACCTCAGGAACTTGCAAGGCTTTATAACAAACTTTATCAGAGAGATGAATTAAAGATACATGAATAACAAGAAAGTGGATGAAAATTGAAAAATCATTGGAGGTGCCTGCTCTTGACACATTTTGTAGATATTAATACCAGTGGATGAGAAGATCTAGTCTAGATTAAAAACAATTCTGGCACTAAGGCACATGGGTAGAAACATTTCATGAATAAATTTAGACTTAAAACTCAAGAACTGTTTCAAAGCACTTAGTAAGATTTCAGAAGAGCATTTATTAATAGCCACAATGGCAAAAAATGTAAGCTGTTTTAAAATGGATCTTGTTACATTTGGTGTAATTAGTATCTGCTGTAGCAACAGACCGTTCTCAGAGACATAACCAAGTCAATGCTGCTCATGTACAGAATCTTGGGGAGCCTTATTAGAATTATAGAATAGTTTGGTTTGGAACAGACTTTTAAAGGCCATCTAGTCCAGCCCACTTGCAATGTGCAGGGACATCTGCAACTAGATCAGGTTGCTCAGAGCCCTGTCCAACCTGGCCTTGAATGTTTACAGGGATGGGTCATCCACTGCATCTCTGGACAACCTGAGCCAGTGGTTCACCACCCTCATTACAAAAATACTTATATGCAATCTAAGTTGCCCACCTTCAGTCTGAAGCCATTACCCCTTGTGCTATTGCTACATGCACTTGTAAAAAATCCCTCTCTATCTTGCTTGTAGGCCAAAGATTAAACCTTCTCTGTGCAATGGAGATGCAAAGATAAAACAAGTGAGTTTTATCACAGCATAGATCTCCAAAAAATAACATTATCATTTTGGTAATATTTGCATTGGTTTACATTTAAGGTATCTAAATATGTAGTTGGAATGTTTTAGTGTCGCATAAGAAGTCCCAAATACAGATGCACGTACTGCATGTGCATAAGTACTATTAAAATTAGTTTATATTTACCTTGCTTGTTGTTTTAGGAAACAACAATACACTACCTTTTACTTATAAAATAAAACAACTGTAACTAGTAAGAAACAAAATTATTTTATTTACCAACATCAACTTGAGGGCAATAGAGAAATGTGGAAGAGAATATATGAATTAAAGTTCAGTGGTGAAGATGTATATGTTCATATTTAAAAGATCACACATAGAGAAGGTATAAAATATTTTTATTTTAATTTCCTGTTTGCAAGTGTACTTGTGGTTTGCATTAATTAGTAAATAAGAAAGATTAGCAAAGCTCAAAGCCTCAGATGACATTTCTCGTAGGGACTTTCTGTTAAAAATGTCTCTACAGGACTACCACTGTCATATGGTGCAATTTCTCAAAAGAATGGTCGTCATTTGAATAGAGACAGAGCTAGCTGGACCTGCCAGCACATGTAGTTAATGACCCTCTTTTTTACAATAGCTTGTTAACACCTAAGTTGACAATAATTCAAAAATTCTGCATTGATGCTTATGACTTAAATCCTTGTCATCTCTAGAACTCTAAATTTTAATATTGGTTCTGTTACACTTTATAAATAACTACCAAAACACTCCAGAACCCTAACAGAACTCACACATGAAAACAAAAAATTACCAGCTTTAAAAATTTGCATCAGATTTGAAATCTGGAATTAAGGTCACAGCTCTTCCTCCATTGGATTAGATTTTGGCTATGATTTGCATATATGAGCTAGTCTAGATTTTTGTATTTTTTTCCACAAAAGTGCACATGTGGGTTTTCACATGTGGGTTTTTTTAAGACAACATTATATTGCTGTAAGATTGTACCTACTGACATTTTTCTTTGCAGAAGGTATAATCCTGAACTGTGATACAGTGTCAGTTCAATTTGTAGATTCTGCCATTTTCAATGCTGCAAATCTGCTAGGATCATCTATCTTTGTGAAACTTCAACAGAATTGATCTGTGCCTGTTAACTGGGCTTGTGTAAAGGTCTGCCTGGTGAGTCTGTCCCCAGCAGTGGTCAGTTAGAAATAAGATCTTGCTCCCTGTTTGTTTCCAGTAATCATTGTTTTAAACAAGACACTTCTTTAGTTAAGGTTTGTATCTGAACCTTTGATTAATAACTATCAGTAGATTTATCCTTTGGTAGTTTATACAGTTCTTAAGTTTTGGCTTCCAAAACATTTCTGGTAGAGGTTCTAGGATTTTACTGTGTGTTGTGTGGCAAAAGTCCTGTTGGTTTTCATTGATTCCTAATGATTTCATTGGTTACTTCTGTTATCATGAAATTGAGTAAATAATAATAGCTCGCTTACCTGCTCATCTTTCTTTTATGAACCATCCACCAGATTCTACTTTGTCATGATATTTGAGACTGTTTTTTGTTTGTTTGTGTTTTATGTTTTGTGCTGAACTGAAGCTTACTAGTCTTAATGACTTATGATCAAGCTGAAAACTCCGAAATGTTGAATTCCAGTTAGGGATCATGCCTAGGCTCAGGGATATCCTGGTTGCTAGAACTGTAAATGTAAATACATAAATACATTGTTAGGCAAGAGAGAAGCATTATCATCAGGAGATGCTGGAGTACAAGCCTGGGTTTTGGTTCTGTTCTGAAAGTCAGCAGAAGAAAGAAGAGATGGTAGCAGAGAGTCAGTCCATTAAAGCAAAGTCTCAAATTCTAGTAACATGTAGTAAGAAATAAAGGTTCGATTTCCTGTAGTAAAATGCCTCTACTAGCTAGCTAAGTAGTGGGAATTAAGGGAATCTTATCTTGGCTGTCAGTGGGAGACTGGTGAGGTGTTGCTAGATATGTGGGTGTTTTCTATGACTTCTTTATTACTATGGAGAAGAAATACTTAAGTTAATGTGATTTTGTAGCTGTGTTCAATAAAGGTTTTTTTGACTTGTTTCTAAAATCTGACTGGGTAGGGTGTGTAGAAAGAAAAGAATGCCTCATGGCAGGCTGACATGCTGTCATGGTTTCTGTTGAGAAGCAAGGGTTTGTGCATACAATCACAAACTGTTCTGCAATAAAAATAAGGGAAAAGCATTTATGGCAGCATCAATTTAAACATACTTTTCTTCACAAACTAGTTGTTATGTAAATGTGATAGTAATCACAGGGAGTAGAAAACCTGAGAGCGGAAGTGATCTCTAAATTTGATGACATTTCTTCCCCTTCTTTAGCCAACATGTTTTTTAGAGAAACTTTGTCCTGTGACCAGTACAGTAAAGTGAAATAGCTTTTATTATTCAGTCCCAGCAGACTTAGAGATTTCATTCTCATAGTAATTATTTGGCTAAAGTGTTGAAGGCAGAATGTTTCATTATAACTGGAGTGAGTGATGAATTGTACAGAAAGGAAAAACATGTTCAGCTGTCTTAAATGTACTTAAGATGTCACTGGAGTACCACTTGAATTCAGCTGGATGAACTATATTCAAATTTAACTACTAGGTACTTCATGGATCTGTAACAGGACACAACATGCAATGAAGCTATTAAAGCAAATTAATTTTTTGCATGGTAAGCAGCATTTGAAATAGGAAAAGCAGCATGTTTTCAGATCTGACTGACTCCTGTCCCAAGTAGAGCACAAGGTTCACTTTATGTATGCACAACTTTGAGCCCTGCAGAAGGAAGCATGCATTTCTATAATCTAACCTTCATTAGCAACTTCATCATTTAAGTCGGTCTGATTTGTAAGAAGTCATCTCTATACACGTGATAGGACTCTTTTAAAAACAACTGCAAAGTTTTATTAGAACTTAAATCTACATAGATATGGCTACTTTGATTTGTAAGTAGACTTTTCTAGTGTCTCTGCTGCTTAAACAATAATGATATGTAGACTTAAAAGATAAAACATATTATTTCCCATATGCTAATGATTAAATTTGTTTTCTAAAACTAGTTTATTAATATTTTACATGGCAAAGAATTCTTGAAGTATTTATGGATGTTTGTATATATTACTCTAAACCCCTCAACCAAACCCAAAGTTATGGAAGGGAAAAATATTCCCTCATGTTTCCTGAAATATGTCATCATTTTGCAGAAAAACATGATCCTCTGTATCACAAGTAAGGTGACCCTCTGAGACACCTGTAAATACAGTTACTACATTACCACAAATATCTAAGTCTTCATGCAGAGTGACCCAGTAGAGAAATTATTTACTATTAATTTGAGTGTGATTGTAAAAGAGGTTCCCTTTTGAGGCTTGTTCTGTTTACAACCATTTCTTCTTAAGTTATCCCTAAAAACTAGATTTGGACAATACCAAACTGGGTCATAACCTGCTGCTGAGTTCATCACATGGGCTAATGACCCAAGATTTCATTCAACTCTGAGGCAGGTTTTACATTTGCTCTCTCCACTAGCAGTCTTGGAGCTAACAGACATAGGGCAGTGGGTCTTTGGGCAGTTCAGTGCCTGCAATAAACATCCTTAGTCCCAGTGTCATTGCTTGGTGTGTCATGATTCCATCACATTACATTCATCCTTCTGTCTACACTTGAATAATTTAGGTAACAACTTCTATGTGTATAGAACGCCGCGCGGTGGAGTCCCAAGAAGGTCTACCATTAGGATGCCTAGCAACTAGAGTAATACAAATAATATTTGCCAATTTTTTTTCTTCTAGGAATTAATGTTTCCCACCCACAACAGTACTATGAAATTTAAAAGCTATCAAAACAGCATGAAAAGGACCAGTTCATTTAACTGCTGTAAATATTTCCAAAATATCTAATTTTTCCTTCAGACCGCTCAAATTAGTGTCTCAGGTTATGGAGAGGTTTACATCATTATTGAATGAAGTAATCCATTTACTGAAATCTGATACGAGTGACTTGAGAGATGGAATGGCAGGGAAGAGAGAAGTCACAAACTCACTTTTTCTCCCATTCTAGAGGTGATCTTTCAAACACATGCCTGACTTAGAGACTTGCCAAATTTCAAGTCCCTGATCAGACTGCTGGTGTATCAGTAAAAATGCCTTCCCTTCTGTGTTTTCAAACAGCTCAGACAAATGATATCTTAGATCCATCTGCTCAGCCAACTGAGACAGGGAGATTCTTCCACTTGAAGTATGCAACTCAAGAAAGATAACTTGGTTTTAAGTTCAGTTTCAGATTCACTGTTTCAGAAGGACCCCTGCCTTCACTCCATGATCATGAACTCATTAGAAGTAAATAATATGAGCATGCTTTATTTGTTCTTGGTCATATGCTCTAGCCGGTATGCTGCACAACATTGCTGCCTTACTTATGTAAGTACCACAACATATCCTTACAAATGTTGATCCAAAATAGACTTGGCTGTAGTTTGATTTAGACCTAAATCACAACTGTACACAAGCACTTCACTGTAGCCTTTTAAAGCAAGAAAAAGCATATTTAGAGGGGGTGCTCTCATCACCTTGAGCTAACCTAAACTTTCCAAGATGCTAGTTTGCTTGGCATCTTTCCAGGGTGGTTGCTGTGCAGTTGGATTCCAGAGGAGCCAAATGATAGTGGCTTTATAGCTATCACATTCCTGTCAATGCTTGAGGGACTTCAGAATGGAAACAGAAGTAAATGCAAGCTGTTAATGGACAAAATGAGCTGTGCTCGAAGAGTTGTGGTGGGTGAAGAGTACAGAAAGAAATGTGTGCAGGGAGCTGGTTGAGTGGTGATAGATCCTACCTGGATTTGTAGGATGAAATTGCAAATAGGAATCCTATTTGTAAAGGTAAAGTATTTAAAAAATGAACTGGCTTTTGGGAGTCTGATATTGAAATGTTTATGGATGGTTGGAAAGGGAAGAATAAAAATACCTTCTTTGAATTGCTTAATGAATTTTATATTTCAGCTGGAAAACTACTCGTTACACCCCTAATACTGGTTCTGGGACTGGCACTGGGAGCCGTAGCTGTTGTAATAGGTAAGAGTTACATATGTGAATGAAGCTAATCCTGATTATGCAGTGACTTTCACTGTATGAACTCTCTGTATTTTCATCTCAAAGAGATGGACACAAAGTACACATTTCACAGATACTGTTTTGGTATCAAGCACATGACTTTTTTTTTCTAAAAAGCTTGACTCTAGGTTTTGTTTGCGTTTTTTTTCCTTACTTGCATTTTATGCTTATTAGCTTTATTTTTGCTCCTATATTTGGTTTTCTTACCCAAAATCTTTAACTAGTGTAGTTAAACTACTACAAAGGCTTGAGTAATTTACACATAATCCTAGGGGCTGGCTGACTTGGACCTGCCCTTTAATCACCCCATTGAATCACAGTTTTATGATCTTGGCCATGTGCATGACAAGATTTTTGGGGCACTAGGCATAGTCCCAAGAGCTCACCAGCTTGAAGATGCAGCAGCAACAAAGCAGCAAATTGGGATGAGTCAGTCTCAAAATATGATTTAGTGCATGGGCTGCCAAATTGGATTCCATCACAAAAACTGGTACTGTGAACTCATTTGATATAGTATCAAAGCTCTGTTAATGTGGTTATATTAATGTGGAGGTAGTTATTTTAGCAAATCTGCTCTTTGCCTGGCTTCGCTGAGTTCTCCTGCAGAAAGGAAATTAGCCATGACAATCAAGGTATAATTTTGCTCATGCAAGTGCATATCTACTCTTTATGTTGGCAGTAATATGTCATTTGGGTATCATGTTGCTTCACAGCTCTACACCAAACCACTTACTCCATTGAAAATTTGCAGTGCAGGCCCTGAGGCATGTTGGGATGTAACATCTTTATTTTAATATAATAAAGCCAAAATATACCAGGAGAGTTACATTAATAAGGTTGTAAATAACCAGTCAACCTATAACCAAAATACTGTTACAACTTTTCTAGACTACATCTGGCTAAATAAGGAATATTGCTATTAATTTCTATATTTAGACTGCCTTCACTGGAGAGATATATATATATATATGGGGGGGTCTATCTTAAATATTTATTCTATTCAGTAGCATTTTTATTCCAAAAATATAGACAATAAAAACATCTTAATGCCAGTAAAACTTGTTTTGCTCTTCAATCTGATATAGTGTATGATCTGTAATCCACTGTTTTGCTTATACTAAAAATTAATAGGGTTTTGCAGTAATATAATAACACTAATTGCAATTGCAGGCATGCCATTGCAGTCTTATCCTAGGTATGGCTGGATAAGATACAGTCAAGAGCAACAGTATGAGCAGTTCCAAAAACGTGGATTATTTATGGGAAAGTTTTGGGGTTTGAGATAATTACAGAAGTATTTTTTGCCAACACCACTGTTAAAGTAATCTCAGTATCATAGCCGAAAACCATTATGCACCATTTACAAGGCTATTGAGCAAAACAAGAACCTTGGTGATTGTGGGAGTGTTTTGTTCTATGTTGTTACTCTAGTGGTGTCTGAAAAGGAAATCTTTGGCCGTTTCAGTCAGCTGGTGCCAAGAGAAAGGGGGAGATCTCATTTGGATTTGAGAGAGTACCTCCTGTGACAAACTATTTTTCACTTGATTAAATGTGATTTATTTTACTTTTTACAGCTTGCTTTCTCTCGAAAGACTTTTAAGAATAAATAGTATCCTGCCCAGGCAAGGATAAACATTTGGTATTACTTCAGAATAGATAAAGATGTTTGTAAAAATAAGTAATATTTATAAAAAAGTAAAGCTATAGCATGCTGTCTCTATTGCATGTGAAACTAATTGAAAACTAGTTTAGTTACATCAGACTTGGATTTAGATCTAAAGATTTCCAGAGTGGTTTTAAAAGTTTTGTTTGTATCTTTTACCAAACAGCATGGTTCAGAAATTAATATGTCAGAGATGGGTGTAGGATTAGCAGGAATTTGTTGTAAAGGAAAGAATGAGTGTAGCTCAACTCATTATTGAAGAGACTCTTACAGGCTAATATCTTTTCTGCTTGTCCAAATGCCTTGTCGAAATTCTCTTGGGATGTATAAAGCTCCACCTGAATACATATATTGAAAGAACACAATATACGCACAAGAGATTGCATTTAGTTATGATTTTCTTTGTATTTTCTTCTTTTGGCAGGTTTATTTGTGTTTCCTATCTATTGCCTTTGTAAAAAGCAGAGGAAAAGGTCACGGACAGGTATGCCCTGGTGAGGATGGACCTTACTCGCCTGAACTGAGCTGGTCCTGCAAGGGCTATACGTGCTTTGTGCAACAGAGCAATACAGTGCTGGTAACAGCATCAAAGCCACCGCCCTGGAAGAAGAATGGGGGTTCTCCTGCCATCTTCCCTCAGCCGAAAACACTACTGCAGACCAGAAAGCCTCTTTGCTCTGGTGCACTCTCAGCAAGATGGGCCCCCTGAGTGCTGCTTTTTAAATGGTTTTGGTTGGTTTTGTTTGTTTTTTTTTAATTATTACTTTGGAGGGGGTTTTTTTGAGTCTAAGTTTCTGAACTAGACAATCAAAGTCTGTATTGTAGCTACAACTCTACTACCGATTTGGCCTGTGAAGAAAGCATTTAACTGCTAACATGTGCTCCATTTGACTTCAGTGTCGGCCTTTAAGGGGGAAATGCTTAGAAGTGTTTGGACTCTTACTGTATACTGAGCATACTACTTTTGGTATTAAAAACTACTTCTGTAAATAACTTCCATCACACAGCATTCTGTTCAGCATACCAAAACCCCGTCACGTGCCAGAACACAACAGCTGGTTATCTTCTGAGTGCTCCTGCTAGTAGGCAAGATTGTAGATTGCCACTGCCAAACTGCAGTGCCTCAGAGGGAAATATCCTTAGTATTGAAGCTCTGTGATACTTAAGAATATGATGATTGATTTCACTTCAGTAATTTATTTATGACAGTCTATTAATATTAATGGCAGGGGTGTGACAAGACTTGTTACAAGAGCACTTCATTTTTAAATTGTCACAGTACAGAAAAACTTTGAAGGGTGTAGATAACAAGAAGTGTCAGTGGCCTATTCTGTCCCAAGATATCCCTGAAGTGTGTTTGCAGGGAAGATGGGAACCTGCTCTTCTATTCTGACTTGGAATATGATACACATGCTCCACACTAGTTGTGTGAAGATAGACTTGATGAAATTTTATAACCTAAATAGCACATTTTGTTTGTTCGTTTAAGTAGGCTGCTGCGCAAGTCTTAGAGTATCCACTGATGTCTCATGAGGAAAATCTGTGAATCTGGGCTAAGGGGAGGGGTCATGAATTCTTAGGAGACCACTTCATTCTTAATTTCTGTTTCTAGTGTTTGTCTTCCTGGTGCATTACAGTTCTGAAGAGAATAGCTATCTTTGCTCTTTTTTCCTAGCTTCAGAGTTCCACTGTTTGCTACCAAACCTCTTTCTCAGTCTGTCACCCCAAAAGCAATCTAATTCAGCATTAGGAATCAGCTATTGAGAATTTTTACACTTTTTATCCCAAATTTATCATACAAATATAATTTCCAAGAAAAAATAGAATAAATAAATTTGTGTAGGCAGAACACTGAAACAAAGAAAGGAACTGATCAAGAAAAATACCTACTTTATACTGTAAAAATACAAGCTGATCTTAAAGAAGATTGAATTTGTACTGTGAAGGTACTTTTTTCCAGTGTATGTGTTTGAAGATACACGTGTGTGTGTGTGTATATATATATATATGTTTGTGTATATATGGGAAAGGGGGAAGCAGGAAGATGGGAAATGTCCTGAAGAGTCTACAGACTTCAAAATTTAGGTTTACAAATAGCATATCATGTAGGAGGTTGTACTTTGCGCCCCTTTCTTTGTTACATCTGAATCCAGTTGTAATTTTTAAGTAAATGGTATTCTGCCCCACCAAGATAATACTGTTGTAAGATACTCACTTTGACTTCAAAACCTCAGTGGAAGAAGCTGATGACTTTTGTTTACCTGGAAACACAAATATCAGCTTTCTGTAGTTGGCTAGTATGCTTGTTTTCTGTCAACTTCTTGTTTTGTGTTCTTGGTTTGTTTGTTTTTTCCTTGTTGAAACAGTGTGTGCAAGCACATCATAGTAGTCAACAACTATTTAATAATTTCCATTTAAATTTAAGTGCATGTTGACCCTGTTGTCCTAGCAGTAGAAGCAGTATCTTTCTAAGATTTGCGAATTAAGCAGGGAAGCAATGACATTTAGAAATAAAATTCAAAACCTATTGTCATTGCAAATCCACCTATTAATTAGATTTCTTCTTCTGAGATGCATCAGTTTTCTGTTTGTGTTCTGCCTGAGGTTGGAAGCTGCCTTAAAATTGGTCTTGGTTTTGCGTGTGTTTTCTGAGGCTATACATATCAGTTGTCTTTGGCTTACTCAGGGATTTTTATTCCTCTCTTTAAATGTCAAATAATGAAGATATTTTTGTATTATTTAGAAAAACCTTCAGACCTCAGAGAGCGAGATATATATAGATAGATTTGGGTTTGCAATGCAGTCTGTAACATGGTGTCAAACTATTCCACTTGAGAATATTTTAGTACTTGAGATTATCTGTAATTAACTATACAGTGGATTAATTTCCTTGCTTTTCCTGGTTCTGTATAAATATGTAAGATATTATTACACTTTTTGTAGCTATTTTCACTCTGGCGTGTTTGCCATTTTCAGTTTCTGATAGGAGTTCAGTAAGATTTGAAATTAAGATACTAGAATAAAGAGCTTAAAAGGGAACATAATAGATCTGCACTTATTTATATTCAGAAAGCATGTCCTTGTGGATGGAGAAAAGGAACACACAACTCAGCTCCTACATTATCATTTCATCTAGGCCATTTTGATTTTATCAGAACAGATTAAATCAAAGGGAAATAGTTTTTCATTTTCTATACAGAGCAAAAAGAGACATCTTTGACCTTGTAGAGATGAGCAAGTCTGATCTTTTTCTGTGGGGAAAAAAAGGGAATTACAATACTTTTTGCTTTTCTTTAGAATGGGACAAACTTTCAAGAGTCAGACAGAGTAGAGATATGAAAGTCTTTTTCCATGTGTATAAAAATATTCCCACTTGAAAAGTACATAAACACAATTTTTATCAATATGTTGTAACATAACCAACCAAAATATGAGAAGTAGCTCAGTACAAAGGTTCATGCAATAAAACATTAGCTTTTAAACAGCTCACTACAGAAAATCTTACATACATCAAAGCCATGACATTTATTTTAAAAGCATTAATTTATGAGTTTGAAAGAAATTGAATGAACTTTGTAAGGAAATTCGAGGATGTTTTTATCATGTAAACATCTTTTGGTTTTGGTAACTACTCTAAAGAAACTACCAGGCTGTTCTACTCCATCTTTAGTAGCAGAAACCTTGTCACTCAGCTGAATTAACCTACTAATGCAGATTGCACACTACTGTATGCTGATCATTGCTGGTCATTGTGTTTGCTTTCACCACATTTATTATTTAAGAGTATTTATTGTTGTGCAAAGTTGTTGCTCACCAATACCTGTATTCAGACTAGGAGATGCTTAAATCCATTCATTCTACACTAGCCTTCTCTTTCAAGTTTGCCTGAGAATGGATTTGTCTATGCGCCAAGTCCTGCTTACAGACATGCAGAGCTAGGACCTTCCCCATGGTGCCATGCAGTGTGTGCCCAATCCTGCTCCTGCTGGGAGGGCTGGCTGGACATGCCATCTGGCAGGGGCTACTCTCCCTTTCTGCACTTTGTCCACTATGCCTAATTTAGTTATATTTCAGTAATGGAGTTGAGCTTCAGGGCTACTCAGCCATGTCATTGGCTGGATGATTGACTGCTGTGGCATAGGTATATTTGCAGAGCTTATCCAACACCTTGCGACTGGAAAATAATTGTGCTTTTCCCTGTGTCACAGTCTGTTAGCCAGTGAGAATAAGAAGCTGATTAGGAATACAAAGGAGAGGCAGAAGGGCAATTCTGAGTAGCCTCATGCTGAGGTGATCCATCAGTTTTAGTTCCATACAAAAAAGTTGGTTAGTCTTCAGTTCTCACCACCTCTGTAATAAGCAACATATTCCTATCTTTCCAATGTCATTAAAAAATACAGTGCACTTTGAGTGATCTGTTATCTTCCTTTGGGGAAGTGCAAATGTGTAAGTAAGGGAAGATTTTGTTTGGTTTTGATGGTACTAATGCTGACTTCGTAACTCTTTCTGGTATGTTAGGGGCTTTTTACTTTACACCAATTTATTCATTATAAAAGTTTTATCAACGTGAAGTTTATTAAAAATATTAATTTGCAGGGACTATTGCCAATTTAACTAGAAAGCATTTTGGATCACCATCAGGTATTCTTTTTAGCCAAGGGGCTTTCTGCACTTCCAAAGACTGTTACAGCTTGTGTGATGTTAAATGGTGTGTAGGTGGGGCAGTAATTCTCTCAGAGGATACAGATTCTCCAGTGATAAATGGTTTCTTTTGCCAGTTACATCTGAGAAACTGTTTGATATTCAGTGGCCAAATAGTTTGTCATGCAGACTCTTGAGGGTCTGGGTTTTTTTAATTTAGTTGGAGTGTTTTGTTTCTTGAGCAAATTTTGGGTATGCTGATCATGTAGTTTCAAGTTGTGGATAAGAACCATGGATTACTGTTACTTTTATAATCTATGTTAATCTATGATTCTGCTTGATGGAAAGAATCCTACCTGAGTAAACTCTTAAAGAGATAATTTCTTAGTTTCTTTTAATTTTGCAGCTTTGTGGTTGCAGTGAATCAGCCTCATTCCTGATATCAGTCATAGCCCCATTAAACCAGACAAACCCATTTTTATGCCAGTATGGGATTTGGTCACAAATACTTTGTTGGCATGTTGATAACCATTGTGCAGGAACTTGAAAGTCTGTTTTGCCTCTTAAGTGCAAACTATTATGGAGCCACTCCTCTCATTTACCGAATGATGCCAATGTGTTTAGTAAGTGCCGGAGAGGGAAGGAGTAGGGAAGAATTTCCAAACAACAATCTCATTAGAGCAAATTGTCAGGAGAATGGGTACTAGCTTTTAATATAAAAAAAGAGACCTTCTTAAAACTTCGAGTCATTAATAAAGTTAGAAACAACATCTATCATCATGGCTAGGCTTCGCGAACGAAGATTTGGGAAGGCACTATCCACATTTGCTACAGGCACGCTGGTGGCTTATGAGGCCAATACGTGACAGACATATCCGATTGCAAAAGGCACAGCAGAAAGACTCCTTAGATGGTGTATTCTGCAAGACACGGTTCTTTCTGCGTTGCCTTTTTTCCTCGAGAGTGATCCTGCGTGTGTTCTCGAAGGAGACAGCTGCGTTATAGATGGCGTGTCTCCAGGCCTCCCGATTTGAGGCCAGAGTAGACCAGTTATGGTGATCAATAAGGCCAAGGCTGAGATGTTGTTTCAGGGAGTCAACATCTACAGACAGTGTTAAATAACATCTTCAAATTCTGCATTCTTCAATGTAACAAATAATAGCACAATGTAAGAATTGGTATTGTGAACTTTTCAGTATTTTGGGGACTTAACACATAAGCTTGAGAGCACACAACATTTTTAAAAAGTTATGATGCTGATCTGTTTGGTGGTTTGTCTTGCTACTGTTACATGAAAAACAGGCTGAGCCTTGATTCAGTTGAAAGACAAGCAGTGTTTTCACTTATGTTAC